CCCAACCTCAAGTCACTTTTTTGCAACTTTGTCACCGTGCCAGAGCTACAGTAGATGTCGGAGGCCTTTGAAAGTCGCAGGATGTTATAAGGTCATTAGTAGCTACACTTTTTATATCTTTGAATTTTGATATCGATGACCTAAGGTCAGGTCAATTTCTCGACCTCCCCATTATAAGTCAAGGGGGAAAAATCAACTCCCTGTTTTTACAATTAAAACGGGTCAGAATGGCTCTGTAACCATACATGACTTCATAAACGATCAACCTTCACTACCTTGAGGTCTGTTTTGCTGTTGGGCAGCTGTAAGGTCATGTGACGTCATCAAAGGTCACCAGCGGTTTTTTGCCAATAACTCCGCACAGGAACAAGATACAGACGCGCGGATGGTCTCATTGCGTTCAGCTCGTCAAGGCGCATCGAATGATATACATGATGACCTCGAGGTCACGTGACCTGAGGTCAACATTTGACCTTGACCTTTCGAGGTCAACATATATATCATTCGATGTGGATTGACGAGAGGATCACGATGATGCCCTTAGTTTGTTTCTATCTTGACTAGTTCGAAAGTTATTCGAGAAAAACTCCATATTTAGCGCCGCCATTTTCACTTTTTTGACCCCTGTGACGTCATCTTTGACCTGACCTGAAAATGACCTGTGTAAAAATTGTAGACCTTGTCCGTGTGTATCCCATGTCGTTTACTGCTTGTCGTTATCTTGCTTCGTTCTCGAGATCTCAGGGTCATCCGCCCCCCCCCCTTCGGTTCTAAGTTGGCGCAGACCGCCGTCGGTGCGCGGATTAACCCGCGCCCCGTAGGGCTACCGGCGGACCCTACCACCCGTAGGGGGGGGGGGGCGTTTCGGCCCCCCCTAAGATCTCGGAAAGTTACCGGCCGATTTTCAAAATTCAAACGGCGTTCGATAGCCCCACCCGGGAACTACCTTGTGACCAAATTTCATTGACCTAGGTCAAACCGATGACGTCACAGGTCAGGTCAAAGGTCAGATTTTCACCGTTCACAGGCAATTCAAGAAATGTGCTGTGAAAGCGAGTAAATTGGTAATTTATTGAAAACCATCGATGGTACATTGTTCGTCAAACACATACTTTGCTATCTGAGGTCACTGATACCAGGTCAGGTCACAGCGAGGTCAGGTCACCGGGGGTCACAATACGAATGTGTCGTGTGATACATGTTTTATGGTCCATTTTACATGACAAATGCGATTATGTGGGTTAGGCAGCCTTTGGGGCCAGCCTAGGTCACGTTTTGGTGAAGGTCAGGTCAAGGTCAGGTCAAATTAGGTCAAATTTCAAAGTTGATATTTTTGCATAAAATGGGTATCGATTCGATGCAGCTCGTCACGGGGAGTTTAATGGTGGTCTTCGTTTTGCTCTACGAGTTCTAAAATTGCCAAAAATTGAGTTTGAAAATTTGACGTCATCATTTTTGAACAGTTTTTTCGCTATAACTTGGCCAGAAAACGAGGTATCGATCTGAAATTTGGTATATAGATAGAAGACGGTAGGCACTATCACATATATTCCGTTTTTTTTTTGAAACTCAAATTTTTTTTTGGATTTTTTGGCGAATATATCTAAAAAAAATGCTTTTTTGATTTTTGGGGATCAAAACTCAAAAATTTCAAAAATTCGAGATAGCAGTTTTGTAGCCCTGTCAATTCTACACCTTTTATGTCTCGATCATTTTTCTGTATCTTCAAAGCTGTAGTCCTGACAGGTCTTCTCGCGAAGGTTTTTTTCGGTCGAAAATGACAGAACATGACGTCAATCTGACGTCATTTGTGGCCAACCTATCATAGCCTCTGGAAAAAAATTTTTGGTCACAATGTGTAAAATTGATGCCCGGAGGGGTCCTGAAAGTTTGGTGGCGATAACTCCAGCCGTTTAGGAGATATCGACCGAAAAGGACAGGGGGGGGGGCCGTTTCGGCCCCCCCCTACGGGGCGCGGGTTAAAGTTCCAATGCATGCACTTTGTACATACTTTTATTCTTAGTAATTTAACGCATAAGTTTCAAAGCGATTGTTTAGTCGGTGTAGCTATGGCGACCGTTTTACCTTTTGCTGAGTTCAAGGTCAATTGACCTGACCTGGTAACCTGACCATAAGAACTTGTAATGTCTTACATGTAAATGGTTTCATGCAGCCATTGGCGTAGCGAAGGGGGGTCCCCATGGTCCCTAGGTACCCCTTTTGGGCCTTTCATGGGTCCTTATCCCCGAAACTGACGGCAGGGCCCTTAGAAGTTTCAAAAGTTCCGGGATGGACCATGTTTCAAATCGGAGATCCCACATGTATGTGGGCTTTACCTACGTACGTACACCCTACCCAATTTTTAGGCCGTATTTCACCCACTATATTTTTGATGAGCCTCTTTTGTAGTTTCTATTTAATATTTATTTTTTTATGGTTTGGTTGAAGATCGAGAGGCCCTCTTCAGAGCTAATGAAGGGGCCCCTGATAGCTTGACGGGGGCCCTCTAAACTAAAAAAGGCCCTCTGAGCGCATAAAGGGCCCTCTGATCGCTTGACAGGGGCCCTCTGAACTATAGAAAGGCCCTCTGAATACACGAGAGGGCCCTCTGAACGCATGAAGGGGCTCCTGATTGATTGACGTGGGCCTTCTGAGCTACAGTAAAACCCTCTGAGCACATGAAACGGCCCGCGGTCGCTAGACCCTCTTAGTTACCGACGGGCCCTCTGAACGCATCGAGTTGCCGTCTGAGGCGAGCCCATGATGGGTCTCTCTGAATAACATCTGAAGGGTCCTCTGTCAGTGTAAAGGAACCGCTACTTGCGTGAAGGGCCCTTTTTGGACCGAGAGGGCCCTCTGTCGGTCTGAAGGGCCCCGATCGGCCTGAGGGGCCCTTTGTTTGTACGAGGGGCCTATATCAACTGGAGGGGCCTTTTCTCCAACTGAGGAGGTCCTCTATCGCCTCTGTCAAGCTCAGGGTCCATCTCTCAATCTGGCTTACGCTTACGAGGCTCTCATGGCCTGTAGGGGGCCTTTGACGGTCTGAAGGACCCTCATCCGACCTACGAGGCCCCCAGTCCGCCTTCAGAACCGGCTGAGCGACTCTATGAAGCTATTCGTGGGCCTAGCTAGCAGGGCCCATGAACTGCTTGCCCCCCCCCCCCGCCCCCCAGTTCTAACATCTTTTATTTTTTAAATAAATATTTTGCAATTTATTTGGGTCCCTCCAAAAAAAAAAAAATAGTGGATGAAATCCGATGGCTTTTTGGATTTTGAGGGAGGTTACCATCGGTCCCTGTAAGTTGGGAACCCCCTTGAGGATATCCTGGCTACGCTCTTGCATGCAGCATTGGCTATTGAAACTGTAATAACGCCGTCTGCAGGTCCAGGTGATAGATCTGCCGTTCTTTCAGGGCCCTGAAAGAACGGCAGGGCCCTGAAAGAAGAAGGAAAAGAAGAAAATGCGGCCGAAATCGCCAACGGTGTCAGGCCAAGATCCCATACCTGATCTGACCTGACTTCTGACGTCAGTGTGACGTCATTTCAAACTGAATCGACACCAAATTCGGACACAACTTTGGCCAGCTATTCAGAAATACGTACGCGGTTTCACTTCTATCTCTTTACGTCGCGACGATATCGTCAGAGAAGTAAAGGGATGTTGCCCTAGTTGCCCCCCAACGGTTGACGGGTGGCGCGGAGGCCCAGTGGTTGCCGAGTTAACCCTCGCCCTGGCAGGGCATTTTTCATAACACGGCCTGGCAGGGGGGGGGTCGATGCGACCCCCCCTCGCGATTGGCTCCTATGGCACCTAGAAACACCAAATTTGGTAGGTAGGTGGGCCCCCTGGAGTTCTCGCCCCTGTGCAAGTTTGGTTGCTCTAGGTCAATATTTAGGGGGGTTTTGGGGGGTATAAATGTAAAAATTTCGCTAAAAACAGGTCAAAAGTTTTTCGCTTATAACTTTTGATCTAATTAAGATAGAGCAAAAAGAAAAGCACCAGTGAACTCAGCACGTCAAGGCGCGTCGAATGATATACTTTTTAGCTTGCTAGAGTGTACTTAAAGTTTTTCTTAAATTTTAAGTAAACTTAAATTTATAAATTAAGTTCAGGTTAACCAAATTGCATCATATCGCATATCATTCGATTCGGTTGATCACCAGGAACACAATGATACCATTTTTTAAGCTCTAGCGTCATTATGTGCCGAGTTATTGGCAAAAACGTCATTTGACCTCAGTTGACCTCATTTGACCTGATCCATGGATAAGTACACCAAACAAAGAAGCACCAAGTGACCTGCTGTTAAGTACCGTGGTTTCAAAGCACAAAAGTGATAGAACGAAGCGGATATCTCCAGTATTTTCCGAATTTAGTATTTTCCCATAGGCTTAACATTACGACGTAATGACCTCTAATTGACCTCAGGTCAATGACCTCAAAAAAGCCGGAATATATGTTATACAACTCGGTGAACTTACCACATCCTGAAAGTTTGAAGTAAATCAGTCAAAAACTGTGAGTTGGACAGGTACATAAAGAAAATTGAAATTTGACCATGACCTTGTACCGGTTTTTCTGACCTGGTGACCTGACCCAAAGTCACCCGGACCTGAAATTTTCAGGTCATATGTGAAAAGGTTGCCCCATAGGCTGTGTCAAATTTGGCGGCGCTGCGCGCCGCCGTTTTTACGCTATCTTCGAAAAACCTTAGGGGGGGGGTCGCATCGACCCCCCCCTGCCAGGGCGAGGGTTAAGTTCAGATCACCAGGTCACGTCAAGTGACCTCATCTTAGAAAGTATTGCATAGGCCTGCGGTAACAACTTTGCTGCATTCATGTAATCCATGGCAGTATGACATGACATCGGCGCTTGATTTTCGGCTTTTAGCAGCCTTTGGCCTGGCTCCGAGATCATCGGTGAATCGCTTCTTGTAACCAGCTGTCCGGGTATGGCGCGGGCGGACGGCGGCCGGTCTCGGAGCCGGCGCTGCACTGACCGGAGCAGTAGGCCACCAGTTGGCCGGTGACGGCCGTCTCGGTCCAGTCCGGGTGCTGCTGGCGAAGCTGGCGAACCCGGCGGCTGCGAGCGCTCAGCAGTGCCACCAGGGTGGCCTCGCTGGCGGTGCCCTGGATCACTCCGCCGCCGCCGAGCCCCGAGCTGGCCAGGAACGGCTCCGGCAGCGCCAGCGCCCGGCCCAGCCAATCCAGCATGGCCACCTCCAGCTCGGTGCAGGCCGGGCTGGCGATCTGCCGGCCCGGGGCGCGCCGTCAGACCAGGGCCGCGGCGCTGACACCTTTTGAAAGTAGGCAGGCACTTGGTAAAAAAGAAATGCCAAACCCTAGACCATAATAAAAAACTACAGACAGGCGACAGATTTAGTATCACGACCAATTCTAGAGAACCCGAGCAACTAGCAGTTCGTCGCTAAAAGCGCTATCCGCGAGAGACAATCCAGGCAAGATCACCTCTTCCATCTTCCCCGTCCGCGGCTGGAAACGGGCAAGCGGTGGTTCGGCTATCGAGCTGCAGCTCTGCTGAACAGCCTGCCACCTCAGCCTCACCTGTCGCAGCTCTGCCTCCCGCCCGCTTCGCCCGCGCTGTTTAAGCCGCAATCGCGGACGATGAATCAGCACATCGTCGCTGACCAATAGGGTGGGGGTGGGCATGGGTGGGTAAGAGCGATGAGGCTGTCCTGAGATTGTTTTGTCCGTGTTTTGACGTGAGTGAATGTGCAAATGTTTTGAATGATTAGATTAGCAAACGCGGATACGGATTCTGAGCAGTAATCGCCACGCACTTTGTATGTGGATCGCTCTAAAATGTAGATACAAATACAAATACAAATAGAAGTGGTCACGAATTGTTATCCATTTCATGATTCCAGTCATATGGGAAAATCAAAACAAAACTCACATAGGTACTAGTTAGAAGGTTACGAAGACATGAATTAGATTCTTACGGGGATCAATGTTCGCCAGTAATGAAAATAACTTGACGCCACGGCTTTCACAGCACGGGACAGCATCACCGCTTTCCAGCACCAGCTTGCAGCATCATCTATAAAAAATGTCTTTGCCATATCTTATTTGTCTGCCACCAGAGGGACAAAGGTCACTCAGTAGGAGTCTAGTTCGTCTAAAATAATGTTTAAGAGACAATAGAATAGCACAACAATCACCACACTGTAAGCAATTTTAGACTAAAGATAAAAATTGGTGTAGTAAAATGTGTTTCATTATATGGAAAATGAGCGAGCACATTAGGAAGTTTACTTTGGGAGTTAAAAGGTAGCACCTAGTCGATGTGCCAACCTTATAGCCATTTTCTACCAAAAGGCTCAATAGTCTCATCAGTCAGCATGGGCACTAGTCTAGCAGGACAAGGTAAGCACAGCAAGGCAAGGTTTTTCGTCAAGTTTCTGACTATGTAATGGCTTCGTGTGATATTTTTTTGGAAAGCTTGGACAATTTACTTTACTTTCAGCGTTTTCTGAAGTGCAGAAAATCACTCTACCCAAACTATGCAATCAAACAAACGAATGCCACGAATGCAAACGAATGCCACTCAGCGGAGGAGTGATCGCTCACCTTTATTGTACTTTTAGTTAGTTCACACTTTGTTGGCCCACTTTGTTGATCTCGGTGGTGTCATGTTTTGTAACCTCGTTTATTTTGAGGAGAGGTGCCTTGATTTAACCCGCGTCGGGCCGGTGCTCTGAGATTCCGCGCCGGGCCGCGTGCCGCGTGTGTGTGTCTGAACACCCCCTTCTAACTCGGCTGCTGGGCCACGTAGCGACACGCGGTAAGCGGCAATCGAAAGAACGTCGAAAACAAGGACGAAAACACTCGGTCATTTTTTGGGTCAGGTCAAAGGTCAGGTCGCCAGAGGTCACCAAAGGTAAAATGTTGACTATTTAAACATTTTGGAAACTGCCGACGGCTATCTCGGTAACCGATAGAGCTACAGCGCCGCGGAAAAGCGCATTCGATAGCCCTTTTACAGACCTTTCTGAGTGATGTTCTCAGATTTGACCTCAGGTCAACGGTGAAGCCTCCAGAGGGCAAAAACTCCAAAAATAGCCGTTCTTACGAAAAGCGTTTTTTTCGGAAATAACTTTTCACTCAAAAGAGCCATGACATTACTTTTGCCAGCATCGTGCTCCTCTCGTCGAGACGCGTCGAATGAACTATAATTTGACCTTGAAAGGTCAACCTGAAAATTTGACCTCAGGCCAAGGTCATGACCTGACCGGAAAAGGTCATGTTGCACATCAGTCGATCCGCAACGTCGAGCCGAACACATCTAAGGCGCTTTCAGCGCTCTAGCACGCCTCTATCAGAAGGTATTAGCGAAAAACTGTTAGAATCTGTTTGTGACCTGAGATGACGTCGGGGACATAACGAGGGGTCACAGTTGCCATTTTCCGGTTCAGTGTGTCAATTTTACCTACATCTCGATGTTTTAGAGTATCTAGATTAGCGTTCGTGCAAAACAGACTCTTTTCAACTTTCTCCCATTGACTTATAATGGAGAGGCCGCAAAATTGACCTGACCTTAGGTCACCGATATCAAAATTCCGAGATATAAATTTTTATGGATAATGTTGCATTCATCAATCACTGAAAGTTTCAAGCAATCGATCAATCGGTGTAGCTATGACGAGCATTCTTATTTTTCTGAGGTGAGGTCACTTGGCGTGACCTGGTGACCTGACCTAAGGCGACCTGGGTCTGAAATTTTCACATGTGCGCAAAAGGTGCAAAAACAGGTGAGCCAAAAACGGCGGCGCTGCGAAAACCCACAGGGGGGGGGGGGTGTTCAAACACCCCCGGCCCGGGTGCGGGTTAAGCGTTGCGCTTTTGCACCAATCCTATTTGTTTCACTTTTGTACTTATTTTGTCTTTTTCTGTTGTAAATAAATGAGATGAGATGAGATGAGATGAGGTAGGGAGAGTGGAGACAAAAGGAAGACGACGAATGACATAGGCACTGCCTACCTTGCCTATATGGGAGAACCGCCCCTGGCGGTCCAACACGCCGGGGCACACCGGGAGTACACACTGCACAGGTGTGTCGTTTTTATCACGCTGTGTCAACATGTTCAGCCTGTCATGTTAAGCCTCAAAACTAATGATAAGGTGGGATGGTCACTTTAAAGTGACCATCCCACCTTAACATTAGTTTTGAGTTGAGATAGCCAAATTGGTGGCCATGGCCTGCAAATACCGGTTTGGGCACTCACATCATCGAAAAATGCTTTAATTCGGAGATATGGAATTTCAAACTTGCAGTTTTCGGATTCTAAGGGGCTAATGCATTGGGATGCCCTCTTATCTTTGTGAAGCACTGGTGGATATATGCTATTTGCGCGCGACATCTGCCGCAAACGCCGCACTTCCAAAATGAAGTCGCTAGGAACAGCGGAGATCCCAAAAAGTATACAAAAGTAAAAGTATAATATCTGGAAAACTGGTTAATATTTTTCGGTGAAATTTGATAGATATTCGTTTTTGCTCTTTCGGAACCGAGCGACATGACTTTAATGCCAATTCATTAACTCATTCACTTTTTTGAAGGTGGGAGGGTCCTTTAACCAGGTGTTTTCTTCAGCGCTCCCCTTTGGCTCAGACACGTCGCTAAACGTGGCACCTTGATCTCTCTTGAGAAGAGGATTGCATATTTGCGCGTGAAATTTCACGTGTTGGTAGAAAATGTTATGAAGTTTTGTTCTGTTTTGGTCTGAGGCCTGTTTCACTAACAAATAAAACTTGTAATTACAAAGAAAAAACTTGTGTTTACAAGAAATAATTACCAACATTTGAGATTTGAATTTCACGAAACCTTTGAACATGAATTTTGAGTTTAATATTTGCAAACTTTTTTACAAGATAAAATTTGCTAGGAAACATGGGAATCGCAAACTTTCTGTTTCATGAGGACCAGAAACTTGAAAGAAAACATCGTAATTACAAACCTGAAATTCCAGTGGTCCTGACGTTTGGAATTAGCTGAGGTTCACTCATCGAAAGGGTCACACCGAGATGTGACCGTAACCATGGTAACCGCTTGTTTTGGACCTGAGAGGGTTTTGTGCTAAATTGAATCAGTTGCTTGCCTCCCTGCATTGAATAAACACATGAACTAATAAAGTGTTTGACAAATGCTGCTCAGCTATGCAGGGAGGCAAGACGAGCTCAACTAACCAAGGCCGAAACTTAACGTAACGTATCATTTTCAAAGTGGCATGATAATTGTGTCTGAATTCCCATCGCACCTTTAAACATGCCCGACAGCAAGCTTCAGTGTCCATGGCCTGATTGCCGAATGCCGATATAAGACGCCCTGTCTAGAAGGACAAGTTGCCATCCAGCTGCTCCAGATGCACCAGGGAGCCGTTCACCAACCCACCTACCCAGGATCGGAAACCACACGCTAAACTACCCCACCTGGAGGTGAGCGCTGATGGCACCGTCACTGAGGCGGCACTGGGTATTTTCAAGCAACAGCTGGCATCGTACAAGCAACTCGCAGGGATAACATCGGACGATCCAGACATCGTGCTACAATCCCTACCTCCAGTGGCCTACAACCTGATGTTTGCCCGACATGGCAGTAACCTCACCGCTCAAACAGAAAACCAGCTTGTCTCCAATTTAGAAGCGCTCTTGGTCCGGCCAGAGAACAAGTTGGCTCACGTGATCAAGCTACAGAAAATGAGGCAGGAAAATGGCCAGTCGGTTGCCCATTTCTCAGCCAACGTTCGGGCCGCTGCTAGACAGTGTCAGTTTCAAATAACTTGCGACTGCACCAAACAAGTCAGCTATGAGGAGCACATGGTGCTTTACCAGCTCCTCTCAGGCCTTGAAGACATGGATGTTCAGACAGACCTCCTCGCCCAGTCAGACCTCACTCTGCAAAGAGCTGAAAAATATGCTACTGACCGAGAGATGGCAAAGAGAAGTCAGGCGACAGTTCAAGAAAGTGGAGAAGTCGGTCGAATAAGATCCACATACAAGAAACAAAGATCGCCCCAGACTGACGTCAAATCCTTCGTAGCATCGTGCAAGCACTGCGGTGAGCACGCACACCAGAACAGGCGTCTGGAGTGTCCCGCCTTCAACCACCTCTGCACGTGCGGTCGACGCGGCCACCTCCCCAAGGTTTGCTTCAACAAAGGTAAGCCGCGAAGTGCCCCATCTGGAAAACAGGAGGCCATCTCGGGAGGCAGCCTATACGAGCTGGCCAC